GGGTTAGGTGGTATCTCAATGAGGTTTTGATTTGCATTTCTCTGATGATCAGTGAGGCTGAGCACTTTTTCATGTGTCTGTTGGCTGCCCGTATCTCTTCTTTTGAGAAGTGTCTATTCATGTCTATTGCCCACTTTTTAATGGAGCTGTTTTTTCCTTTTGGCACATTTGAGTTCCCTGTAGATCCTGGACATTAGGCCTTTGTCAGATATTCAGTTGGCAAATATTTTTTCCCATTCTGTGGGCTGTCTCCCCGCTCTCTTCATTGCTTATTTTGCTTTGCAAAAGCTTGTCAATTTGATGAGGCCCCACTTGTCTGTCTTATCTCTAATGGCATGGGTATTTGCAGTTTTGATCAGGAATTGGTTGCCAGTTGCCAGTTCCGATTTCCATAAGGGTGTCTCCTACTCCTGTGTTTTCTAAGGTCTTATAGTTTGAGGTTTTATGTTCAGGTTTTTGATACATTTAGATTTTAAACACAGAGTACTTTGAAGGTGACTGAAGTTTAAAAATGTAAGAGTAAATACACAATTTTTATAAATTATGGGTTTTTTTGGGGTCCCCCCTTGTATATGAAGTAGCATCCAGAAGAGCAGGCCAAGGAAAAAGAGGTAGTAGACACTGATTTTTAAGAAATCCAATGTGCTGAGACCACTTCTAATGCATCCAGATGGTAGTGAAAGGCAACAAGAAGGTGAAGCACTGGACCCGAACTACAACTGCTGTATCTTAGGTAATACAAAAAGCCTAGGCCCAGAGACAGGAGATCCCTAGCAGATTGTAGTTTTTTTGAGGACATACTTCTTATGCCCTATGATGAAGCCCTGATGTTCAATTTCTATTTTTTGTGAAACAGAGCTAGTGAGCAATGGACTCTGGAAGAATGGCGTGGTCAGCAGGAATTGGGTGAACTGAGGCAAATAAGTGATAAAATGGAGCAAGTTCAGTGAGTATACAGAAACTGTAAGCTGAAGCATAGTCAGGTAAACTATTCAGCAGCCCAAATCATCTAAAAAGATGGAGCAAAAATAGAGTGAAATGAAACTAAAACTCAAGTTTAGCACAGAGCTAACAGAAGAGAAACAGACATCATGTACCAGAAACCCAACCTCACAATCGAGGAGGCCTGCCTCAGCTTTTCTCCTTGAGTGGGAATAAACAAGCTTCCTTGGGAACAGCCAAGCTGCCACCTGTGACTGAGAACAAATATCTGGAAGATCTGCTGCAAAGAAACTTGCCACACAAGGCAGGAAGAGAAGCAGCATCTCCATCCAAGCCCTGGCACAGCTCAACAGTAGGGAGGTACATGAGAGAGGAAAATGACTTCATTTACACTTTTTTTTTAAAGAAATCGCTTTCTTAAAACCATGAGTGATATACACAGTAAAATCAGAAATTTCTGAAGTACTCAGTGAAAATGGGGGAGGGGGAGGTTACATAAGATCTGCTATTAACTCTAAAATCTAAAAAACAATCAGTTGACAATTTTATTCTACTGAAAAAAATGTTAAAATTTACTAAAATCATTAAACAAGTTCAGCGCAAAGGCTTCATAAGCATAAAGTTTAAGTGAACATTTATGATTATAAAAGTTATAAATCCACAGTTAGGCTATTTGGTAGCAACGCCAGAGATACAAATATTTCTTAAAAGAAAACATTCACCTAAAATTATAAACAAAAATGAGTCTAAACATTGACAAACATGCCTCACTTAATTGATATAATGCTATTGTTGTTATTTCTTTTTTTCCCCCTTTCTTTCTTTCTTTCTTTTTTTTTTTTTTTGAGAGACAGGGTCTTATTATGTTGCCTAAGCTGGCCTCAAACTCCTGGGCTCAAGCAGTCCTCCTGCCTCAGTCTCCCAAATAGCTGGACTACAGGCAAGTGTCACCATACCCAGAAATTCTCATCTAAAACATAATTACTTTTTAGAAGCTAATTTTACACCATATTTATGCTGCCTTTTTAAATACTAACATGGCCATCAAATAAAATCAATCCACAACTAAAAGGATATGCAATTCTAATTATCACATAAAGAAACTTTTATTAACATTAAGAGTTAACATAATAGAATCAACCTGTGTCCATCAACGAATGTAAAGAAAGTGTATATATAGGTACACAATGGAATATGATCCAATCTTAAAAAGAAGGAAATCCTGTCACTTGTGACAACATGGATGAACCTGGAAGATATTATGTTAAGTGAAATAAGTCAGGCAAGGAAAGACAAATACTACATGAACTCACTTATATGTGGAATCTAAAAAGTCAAACTTGCCGGCATGATGGCTCATGCCTGTAAGCCTAGCACTTTGGGAGGCCAAGGAAGAATTGTTTGAGCCCAGGAGTTTGAGACCAGCCTGGGCAACATAGCAAAACCTTGTCTCTACAAAAAAAAAAAAAAAAATTAGCCAGGCATGACGGCGCTTGCCTGTAGTCCCAGTTACTCAGGAGGCTGAGAAGGGAGGATTGCTTGAACTCACGAGTTTGAGGTTGCGGTGAGCCATGATTGTGCCACTGCACTCCAGTCTGTGCAGCAAAGTGAGATTATGACTCAAAAGCAAAAACAAGCAAACAAACAAAAAAAGTCCATAAAAAAATCAAACTTATAAAAACAGGGAGTAAAATGGTAGTTACCAGAGGCTGGAGGGATCAGGGAGAAGTTGATTAAAGCACCAACATAAGATTTCAGTTAGACAAGAGGAACAAGTTCAAGAGATGTACTGTACATCGTGATGACTATAGTTAATAACAATGTATTATGCACTTGAAAATGACAAAAATGATAAGTATGTGAAGTAATTCATATTTTTAAAATTTATTTTAGAGTTGTGGGATACATGTGTAAGCATATTTTAAATAGCTTGTTTTAGTCATTCCACAGTATTACACATGTGAAAATATCATGTTGAATACCATAAATATATCTAATTTTTACCTGTCAATTAAAATAAATTTTAAAAAGAGCATATAGTAGTAATGATTGCACAGCACTGTGAATGTAATTAATGCCACTAAATTGTATACTCACAAATGGCAAATTTTATATTATACATATTTTACCACAACAAAAAAAAATATGAATGAGGGGGAAAAAAGAAGAGTGAGTTAGTGTATTTTGAAATTATGTATCTGTTGTATATAGTCAGTTCACTATTTTTTGGCACTCAGATAATTCACACTGTATAAGACTAAAATATTCCAGTTAAAAGTCTTTACCAGAATTTCCATTTCAAAGTGAACCATACAACCAAAATTCTAAAGTAAAAAGTTCAAACAGCTGGATGTTAAATGGTCTCACAATTCTATTACTACTATTCCTTGAAGTTTTTAACTCAACAATCAGGCAATAAGAACATTTTAAAAATCTAAGTTGTTTCTTAAATCAAAATTAAATGAAAAACCCAATTTATCTAATGAACACAGATAATTTTGGAATTCAAAAATCACTCAACATATTTAAATGATCATAATGCAACTAACCTTTTTTTTCCTCAGCAATCGTTCTCTGAACGTATTAGTGATAAATCCCCTTGGACCAGCAAACCGTAAACGCTGATACTTAGCCTGAATGTACATGCTCTTCCGTACCAGGCCTGATTTATTATGGGGCTGGAATCTGCTCCCTCTAAAGTTGCTCTGTAAAGGAAAAAAAAAAATTAAATGTTAAAACTACAGCTTCCAAGTCTACTTTATTAGTACAACAGATGAAAAAATGTCTGGTACTTAGAGCTGCCCTTGAGATTATAGATTACTAAAAGAGAAGAGGGTGAAGGTGATAACATAGTACGTTTTCCTTATACTAGCTTCCAAACTTATACTAATATTTTAAAAAATATATCTTTATTATGCATCAAATCAATTTTTAAAGAGTTAAAAGAATTTGAAATTAATTCTTGAAATTAATCATGTTAACAAAATACAATTCTCAAAACCTCTAATGAGCTAAAATTATTCTTCTGATTCATAATGAAATATATCAAATCCAGACATTAATTATCAATATCCATCTAAGAATCAAAAACTCTTTCAACTTAATTCCTGTCAATACCTTCAAACCAATCGTTCTCTTTCACAAAAAACACATTACTTAAAAAGAACATCTCCTAGCCTGCATACCATTCAGTATTTCAGTAGACATAAGAGGACCATGAATATTTGTGTATTTCCCATGTGGCTGAGAAGAAGAATAGTCCCTTAATAATTTGCTGCTGGGAGTGGGAGAAGGAAGGAGTCCTCAATTTTGTCAATCATGAACCAATCCTCTCTAAAACTTCCCAAACAATTCTCCCAACCCTCCCTCCCTCACTCCTCCATATCACACATTCCTAATGCTCGCCTGCATTTTCAGGCATTCTCCTAGAATAATCTAAAACAGATGGGAGAAGTGACACAAAGGTTTATAGATGAAGTCTCTCTCCTAAGTCTTCAAACCTTGGTTACCTGCCAACTCATTAAACTCTTGACTACGAAAAGGATTTTTCCCCAAAAAACCATTCAATTAAATTCTCCTATAGAAAATAAATGTCAAGTCACATGGAAAAAAAAAAAAACCTAGGTAAAATTATGCTTTTAACAAGATGAGTTCAGCATAAATTGAATATTGGGAGATCTAACCAAGAAGTCACGAGAAGATACGGTAGAGAAGGAAAGACTTTGGTGACCCCACATGCTTTCTCAGGCAGAGTTAACTATAAAACTATTTTGAAATTATTTAACAAAATTCATACCTAATACTACAAAAAAGGTACAAAGACTCAACAGAGGCTGACAACTTAGTAGAGACATCAAGTATGAGCATCTGACAGGCAGCTAGTCCTGGTTTTGTCAACAGGAATCTCTACCAAGAGCCAAGAAAAGGCCTCTCCAAGCTTGAAAAGCACAAAAGAACATTTAGTTTTAATGGCACAGGCAGAAAATCTTATTCTTTCATCTCTCCTTACCGCTCAAGAGTTAAGGGCTCAACCAGTGTTCATTTATTAGGCAGTGACAAGGGTCAGAATAAAAGTTGCAAATTCTGTACCTTGAAAACAACAGCCATTGCATACTATATTTATTCCCAAATGTGTTCTTTTTAAAATAAAATCAAAATTTTACTCAGAAGATTGGCATACATCAGAGATAAATATTATTAACTGCTAATTTGTTTTCATCATCTCAAATTTTTCAAGCAAATGCTTACAGTATAAAGGAAAATAATAACCTAGTTATATGTAAATATTTAATCACAAAGTTGCATGGAGAGAGTTTTGTTTTTAAATCAAATTCTTTCTTTGCTCTGAATAAAAAACACCCAAGTCACATCCCAACTACTACGTGACCAAGGTCCAATCAAATGGACCTGATAGCAGGCACTTTTGGAATGTTTCGGGGAAGAGTTTACAATTTGTAAACTATTAAGGCTAAAAAGAGAAGCTAAAATTACAGAAACAAACAAAAACACATTCAGTTTATAGAAAGTTAAGGTCTGAATAAAACTTACACCCCTATAGTAAAGACATCAAAGAGGAAAGATTCCCTCAACATGAAGAGCTCAACAATAACCACTCTTAAACAAATTATTGTAAGATTAAACACATTATTTGCCTCCAAGGAAGTCAGTAACATCGTCTGCACACACTGCAATGGCTGCATTAAATAAAAGCCCTCTTGGCGGGGCTCGTTGGCTCAGCCTGTATGTAATCCCAGCACTTTGGGAGACTGAGGCGAGTGGACTGCCTGAGCCCGAGGGTTCGAGACCAGCCTGGGCAACTTGGCAAGACCTCGTCTCTACAATAAATCAAAAACTCGCTGTGCATTGTAGCGTGCGCCTGTAGTTCCGGCTACTTGGATGGCTGAGGTGGAAGGATTGCTGGAGCCCAGCAGGTCGATGCTGGGGTGGCCGTGGGTGTGACCCCACACTCCAGCCTGGGCGACAGAGTGAGACTCCAATTAAAAAAAAACACAGCCAGGCTCGGTGGCTCAGCCTGTAATCCCGCGCCTTTGGGAGGCTGAGGTGAGTGGATTGCCTGAGCCCGCGGGTTAGAAACCCGCCTGGGCAGCAAGACCTCATCTCTACAATAAATCAAAAAATCAGCCGGGTGTGGTAGCGCATGCCTGTAATTCCGGCTACCCGGAAGGCTGAGGCGGAAGGATTGCTGGAGCCCAGCAGGTCGAGGCTGCGGTGGCCGGGAGCGGCCACTGCACTCCAGTCTGGGCGACAGAGTGAGACTCCAACTCAAAAAAAAAAAAAAAAAAAAAACCCAAACAAAACAATAAATAAAAGCCCTCTTAAACACTACTTGTTTCCCCTTTGATAATAAAATTCAGACCAACTAGCAACGGAGACAATGCCAGAAGGAAAAGATATTGAGGCTTAGTCAAGTGAGTTGCTGCTGGAGCTGCTGTTGTTTTATTAAAAGGAAACAGTGGAAGGGAGAACTGGCTGCAAAACACAGAGCATCCAAAGTAGTAAGCTACTAATTTAGAGAAAGCCACAATGTGTGTTATACTGAATTATGGCTTTAAAATTAGGGTCTTGATTTTGTTTAGACAAAACAAATGTTTCTGTTTACAATGTTTAGACATCTAAATAGAACATGTACAGTTTTTAGGTTCTATGATAATTTTCAAAGTCTTATCCATAGGAATAGATTTTAATCTTTTTGAAATTCAGTGTTTGGTTTATTTTATTTAAGTTCCATCCTCAGACTACTTAATATCAGGAAACAGATTAATAGACAATATTGGATAAACAAATGTACAAATGGTATATTACAGTGGAGTAGTTATAAAAACTAAATAGATTCCTCTTTTCACAATTATTTTAGAAATGAATATATCGTATACAAAAAAGTATTTACACCAGGACTATTTTTTCAATTATCTTCTTAAGGCTACAGAAAATTTCAGGTAAGACAATTAGAATAAGACATTAATTCTGTTAAGACTATTTACACAAACTTGATTTGCTTGAAGAGCTAATCTTCAGATAGACATGGTCCATTTCTGCTTATCTAATAAGCTGAAGTCTTTCTGGCTTTGAGTGAGTCCAATTCATATAAAAAGTAAATTTTAACAAAGTATTTCCTTTTCTTAGTAAGTATTATTTCTTAAAAAAAAAAAAAGGAAGCCCTTATTTCTTCCCAATGTTTTACTATAAAGAATTATATACTTCTAAGCAGTCACATACTGTCACACAACTTTAAATGATTGGTCAAGAGGAAAAATTATTACATATATTTTGAAAACAATGTCAAAAAAATTAATGTTAATCTTTCCTTAAGGAAAATAAGTAACAGGAAATAAATTTTATAATGATCTTAGAAAACTACTATAATATATATACTATAAACTATATCTAACCAATGAGAAGTTCAGTATGTAGAAAGCATTTAGATCTGCAAGTTCATCTATACTGTATACAAGTACTGAAGACATCACATTTTCAGTTGACGTGATGCCTCACTACTCAAGAGATCAAAAGATGGTATCAACATGTTTATATATTCTATAGCCATTTGAAAACTTCATGCCACACGTTCTTAGGCATACAAACCATTGGCTAAACATGTAATCTATGCAATACCTACAAATTATGTTACTTCCATTAAATAAAATCTTTCAACATTTATAAATTTTGACTTTCAAGAACTCAAGTATTAACAGAAGATCACTCAACTACTCTTCTAGTCTATGGTTTGGGGATAGTTTATACGAATTTTCTGCAGATACTAACTTCCTCCTAATAAGATAACTACTACATCAAACGAGTCTGCTACTTTCACACAAAGAGCTCAAATTCTTCCCTTTTTTGGCTGGGGTAGAGGAGACAACATGAGTGAAAAATATGATTCAAGTGAATATCACAAATAAGTAATTCAGTCAAAATAGATATTAAAAGCACCTCAACTTTTGAGAGCAAGGAGATAGACATATCGTACCTTGTACTATAATTCGTATTCCACATGTTTGGGGGATGAAGTATCCTAGATAACCAAATACTTTAGTTGATTAAAAACTATCATTTTTATCAGATAGAGATGCACAAATAATCAGAATGTGATTAAATATACTTTAACAAAACTGTCTGGACCAGAATCTTTCTGTGATAATCCAGAAGGCCTATGGGCAGAGTTTTTTCAATCTGTGAATCCTGGAGAAAGCTCTATAGCTTTGCACTTACATCTTAGAGGAAAAGGTGCTGGCTTAAAGGAAGGGCCTGCAACCTAGCCTGTCTCTTCACCTAGAGTCACTCTACCTGTATCTGTTTCATGTATCTGTGTTTCCATGATGTATCTGAAAAAGGTTTCTGCTGGTAAAAATATATATATTGAAGATTAAGTCCTGAGGAAAGAGTCATCATTAAACTGATTATAGTTTACTATAAAGGTCTAGAAATACTAATTTATAGCTACTATTTGAAAGCATATTATAAAAAACAGCTTTTAATTTACTAACACTTAGAATATTATGTCCAAAGCATAAAAGCAAAGCTAGCATTAAATGGAAAACAACACTCAATACCTTAAAAGGTCTTTTAAAGCCTCTTGTGTTTTGATGGTTTCCCTCAACTCCAAATGGTTTGTGAGTGATGATGTCTTTTCTCTGCATAGTATAATTCTGCATGAAAAAAGGTATTAGTATGGGTTAAAATAGTTTGTTTTACCATTTAAAAAATCCCATGTTTTAAATGTATCAGGTTAAGAACATAAAGCAGGGAGCAGCAAGCTTAGCTGCAGGAACCATACATATCTCTCTCTTTCACATGGCCCATGCTAGTTTGTGAGGAGCCAGTTTTATTTCTGCCTGTGACAAGTGGAAAAAATACTCCTGAATAACACAAGGGTCTAGAAAATAAACTAGAAATCTAGAATTTATTCAGGAGACAAAGAAACCCATTACCATTAGAAGTTGCTAACAGGGCCAGGCTCAGTAGCTTAGCCTGTAATCCCAGTATTCTGGAAGGCCAAAGTGAGTGAATCGCCTGAGCCCGTGGGTTTGAGACGAGCCTGGGCAACTTGGCGAGACCTCATCTTTACAATAAATAAAAAATTAGCCGGGTGTGGTAGCACATGCCTGTAGTTCCGGCTACTTGGAAGGCTGAGGCAGCAGGATCGCTGGAGCCCAACAGGTCGATGCTGGGGTGACCATGAGCATGCCACTGCACTCCAGCCTGGGCTATGGAGTGAGACTTTGACTCAAAAAAAAAAAGAAAAGAAAAATGGTGTTAACAGGCTTCTACTGCCTGCAAAAAAAAATAAATAAATAAATTCTCAATACTACAGGAGCAGGTTTTGCTGATTCAGATAACTGATTTGAGACGATTCTCCTGCCATGGCTAGAAAAATATCAGAAATAACATTAGCAAGTCTGTAACTACAAAGCCCCCGAATCCTCTGGTGAAAACAGAAAAGAAGGGGCCCTTCTCAAGATGGCTTCCTTTTTCTAAAATAAACAGTCTCAAAAGCTTCTTTTGATTCTATTTTCTATGGAATCTGGCCAGGGAGAGAACTGTACTAGGCAACTGCTGATCTGGCTTCCAGTGATCCTCAACCAATGATCCCTCCCTTCGAAGGTGGGATGGACCTAGTAACTTGCTTCTTGCAAAAAGAATAAGGTGGTGGGATGTTACTTATTAACTTAGGTTACAAACAGAATCCGGCATCCATCTTTCTAACCATCACTTGCTTGCTCTTATGGAAGCCAGCTGCCATTGTGTGAGCTGTCCTATAAAAAGGCAAATTTTCAAAACAGAAAGCAGATTAGTGGTTTGCTGGGGGTGGGAACAGAAAATAACGAAACAGGCATGAGGGCTCTTATTGGGTAATAAAAATACTGGACTATGGTGATGGTTACACATCTTGGTAGATTTACTAAAAATCATTAAACTGTACACCTAAAATGGATGACATTTTATTGTGTGTAAAGTATGTCTTAATAAAGTTGTTCCAAAAACAAACTTAAGAAGCCTAGTGCTATAATAAATCCAATAAAATCCTACTAAATCAAATAAGAGATGAACATTTCTTCTGTTATAATAACTTTAAGCCTTATCTGAATCTTATAACATGTACTTAATGAACAGTTATAAACATTATAATATTGGTGATCCCTGTACATGTATATTTGAGAAGAAGAATGCAAAAAATGAAAATTTTATAACTGCAATCTTACCATGTAAGGTTTCTGAATAAATTTTCTAAAATTCGATTTTATAAAATGTGTAGGTTTTTGGAATCTATCAGCATGAGTATTCTTCACCTTTGGAAAACTGGAATGCTGATCACCCCTAATAAAATGAAAGAGAAAATGAGAACCTTTTATTAGTCTACCTTTTTCTAATACATAAACAAGAAAATTAAACAGCCCTTTGATAATTAAAGTAGCACAACAGTAAAATCTCAATGAGCTATCACTACTAAAATTACAAATGATAGTCAGCAGGGCTAAAACTCATTTTTCAACAAATATCATTTAGCTAAGTTGGAAGTTAGCAATAAAGGAAAACCAATATTCCTTGGACCAGAGTTCTCAATCTGGAGTTCAAGGACAGGCTTCTGGGACTGTAACTTCCTGAAACCACACATGAAATGTACGTTTTCTGAGGAAAGAGAATCTGAACTTTTGGCAGCACTGCCCCTTCCTGCCCCTTGCTGGTAGACTCTTACTGGTAGAAGCACAGTGGCTCATGATCCAGTCTATTCTTTAGAGGCCAGGTGTGGTGACTGGTTCAGGGTCCCCTCACTGGCAGAGCTGAGGCCTTCTGATACTACAGGGCCATAGCAGCAAAGGACACGCTCCCCTCTTCCATCATTGCGAAGTCCTGGGGCCACCAAGGCTCTTCCCAGGCAGGCTTATCTGGGAGGGAGGTCCTTTCTTGGGCTTTTCCTCTGATCCCCAAAGTCTCATTTCCAATAGCCCTTGGGTATTCTTCTCCTTGTCACATCCTTCATTTCCCCACAATGCTCCTCAGACCCTTTCTGTGTCTTCTGCAGGCCCTGCTCCATGGTGAACTAACTGCTCCCTGCTCAGCCCTGTTTCAGTCCCTCTCATGGATTCCCCACTGGCATCAGGAAAAAAACCACACTCCTCATCTTCACCCCAAGGCCCTTCCAGCTCTGGGCCTTGCTGCCTTGCTCCAATCACCCCGACACACACACTGAGTTTTGGGAATATTTAAGTACATGTGATTCCTGACATACAACAATCTCTCCTGCTTCTACACCTTTGCATGTGCAGTTCCTTCTGTGATCATTTCCTTCCATTTAGATTCACTTCTAGATTCATCTGTAACTCTTCTGGGAAGGCTTTCCTAAATCCCTCTGAGGTGGACTAGGTACTTCCTGCTACGTGCGCATGTAGCATTTTTGGGTTTTAACAGCTATCACTCTGTGACTGAACCTCTGGAGTATCTGTCTGCTTAATCAAACAAGCTGTGATTCCTTCAGAGGAGGCACTACGTGTTGTGGCTCCAGTTCTGACCCAGAAACCAACATGAAACAAACACTTAGGGTTTTTTGATTTGTTAAATACTCCCATGTTCTGTCAAAATGGCTCATAAATAGTAAGAGTAGAGTGTGCAAAGCTGTATATTGAGAACAATTTCAATTATATAAAATACACACATAAGTGCCCAGAAAAAACACATAACAAGAAATGTACTAAATGTTAACAGTGGTTATCTCTGACTGGTAAAATTAGGAATGCCTTATATTTTTCCAAATGATTGCCATTAGTGTGTGTGACTACTTCTATAAACAAAACAGTAGATTTTAAAAAATTCTCTATGTAAAGTATAGATCTGATAAGGAAGTAGTATCCAGAAAATGTAAAGAGTTCTTACACCACAACAATAAAAAGACTTTGATTTAAAATTGGGCAAAAGATTTGAATAGACATTTCTCCAAAGAAGACATACCAATGGCCAATAAATGCATGAAAAGACGCTCAACATCATTAGCCATTAGGGAAATGCAAAACAAAACCACAGTGAGATACCACTTTACACACACTAGGAAGGCTATAATAAAAAAGATGACAATACCAATGTTCATAACAGCACAATTCATAACAGCTAAAAGATGGAAACAACACAAATGTCCATAAACAGAAAATGGATAAAGTGTGGCAAAACCATACAATGAAATATTATTCAGCCTTAAAAAGGAATACATTTCTTTTTTAAAAAGAAATGAAATTCTGACACACAATACAATATGGATTAACCTTGAAAACATTATTCTAAGTGAAAGAAGCTAGACACAAAAGGACAAACATTGTTTGATTCTACTTATATGAAATATCTAGAACAGGTAGTTATAGACAGAAAGAATAGAGGTGACCAGAGACGGAGGGGAGGAGAGAATGTGGAATTATTGTATAATGGGTACAGAACTGCTAGGCTCGGGTGATCCTTCCACCTCAGTTTTCCAAGTAGCTGGAACTACAGGCGCACACTACCACTCCTGGCTAATTTTTTGATATATTGTAGAGATGAGGTCTAGTGAAGATGAGCCCAGCCTGGTCGCGAACCCGTGGGCTCAGGCAATCCTCTCACCTTGGCCTCCCAAAGTGCTGGGATTACAGGTTTGAGCCACCATCCCCAGCCTATTATATATATATATATTTTACCACAATAAAAAAATTTAAAATATTTTGCTATTTGATTTTTGATGAGGCAAATGAATGCCAAGTTAAAGAATCTATTTCCTAGCCTCCCTGCAACTAGGCATGACCACAGGACTAAATTTTGGCCAATAATTCTAAGGTATCATGTGTACATTTTAGGAAGTCTTTAAAAGAAAGGCTAGAATGAGGACAAGATGATTACAGCACAAATACCCATCTTAGATCATGAGACAGATGCTAGACAGGGGTATGGAAGGAGCAAGAGCTCAGCAGCTCAGTTCCCTGCTGGGCCCACTACATGCCACCCTAGCATGCAGACTTCCTACTAATCTCTCTCTCTCTCTTTTTTAGAAAGAGATACATTTTGCTCTAGCTCTTACAGTCTATTCTCCACCCAGCAACTAGAGAGATCCTTTCAAATTTTAAGTCAGATTATATCTCTTTTCTGGGTGGAACCTCAAATGTTTCCTAATTTCACCCAGAGTAAAATACAAAATCTTCAAGTCCTTCAGTATTCCAAAGCCTTTCATGACTTGGCCTCATCTGCTAACTACCTCCCTTTTCCACCCTATTGCAACCCCACTTTTTTCTTTTCTGTTCCTTAAAAAACAGCAAGCATACTTCTGACTCAGGGTCTTTGCATTTACTGTTCTCTCTCTTGAAATACTATCCCTTCACATAACCCAAGATTAACTCCCTCACGCAATTTACAACCCTGATAAATGGTGTTTTATTTTGTTTTTGAGTCAGAGTCTCACTCTATGCCTAGGCTGGAGTGCAGTGGCACACTCATGGCTACTGCAACCTGCTGGGCTCAGGCAATCCTTCCGTCTCTGTCTTCCAAGTAGCTGGAACTACAGGTGCACACCACACACCCAGCTAATTTATTAATTTATTTTAGAGATGAGGCCTCACCAAGTTGCCCAGGCGGGTCTGGAACCCCTGGATTCAGGCAATCCTCTCGCCTCAGGCTCCCAAAGTGCTAGGATTACAGGTGTGAACCATTGTGCTCGGCTAACCCTGATAAATGTTTTTCAAAGTCTTAATTGCACTCCTTGACCACCTTAAATAAAATCATATCACACATATCACTCTTTCCTATTATATCTCCTCTTCTGCCTTATTTTCACCTACCACTCAAATAACATATATTTATTTTCTTTCTTCTACCATTAAATTTTAGCAGCATGACAACCAGGGCTTTGTGTACAGTTTTTCACTCTATTCCCAGTCCTTAAACAGCAATTAGAACAAAGAACTTAATATATAAACATTTGTTGACTATATGAATAAAAGATCCTTATGAAGTTTTTACTCTGTTCAGTATAGGTTATGATTGCTACAATAGCAAGAATAAAAACTGATGTTTCCCCATAAGCTACCTAGTTAGAAAGAAAGTCTTGATATCTTCTCAGAGTCCAATGATACTATTTTTAAGGTCCTTTATCAAACACACTCCATACTTATATAACATACCAGATCAATTATATTATAGAAAACTCAGCAACACTGGCTAGAAAAGGGAGAAATAGTGTGCCAGGAGAAGACATGGAGACATCAGGGTAAGAGACTGGTCAGAAGTGGGAGCAAATACAGATGGTCCCCAACTTAAAATGGTTCAACTTACAATTTTTCAACTTTACAATGGGTTTATCAGTATATCACTCATCTTTAAGTTGAGCATATGTAGAGAATGGCAGGGTCTTAGAGAGATTCCATAAATATCCCCAAGCATTAGGCTTGCTTGTGAAAGATTCTAAGGCTTCAGGGAATAGGGAGTAGTAATCAAGATCTAAACGTCTACTCTTTTGGAAAGTTTTTATTTAACAAATATGAACTGAGCTCAAGACAGTGGGGATACAATGGTGAGCAAACATAGATACAGAGCCTACATAAACTTTTTATGGAAAAACCATACAGGTGAGAAACCATCATATCCTATGATTTATCATGATTTGTCATGTTTCATTTCTTCTGAATTTCTATGGAAACTAGACTGACTTGATTTTAAAAGTTCATGTAAAAATAGGAGGCCATTTTTGATCAACTAAATTTCAAAGATAAAGGGATAAAAGAAAATGTTTTTGTTTTAATAAGGAAGTTGAATTAGGATAAAGTGAGAGATTAAAGGTTCTATATTTCTTTTTTTAAAAAAGGGTAAACAATAACAAGTGTTGGTGAGAAGGTGAAGAAATTGGACTATTCACACAAAGCTGGTGGGAATGTGAAATAGAGTAGCCACTTTGGAAAACAATCTGGCAGTTCTTCAAAAAGTAAACATAGGCCGGCGCGGTGGCTCATGCCTATAATCCCAGCATTTTGGGAGGCCGAGGTGAGAGGATTGCCTGAGTTCATGGGTTCGAGACCAGCCTGGGCAACTTAGCAAGACCTTATCTCTACAATAAATCAAAAAATTAGCTAGGCTTGGAGGCATGTGCCTGTAATTCCAGTTACTTGGAAGGCTGAGGCGGAAGAATCACCTGAGCCCAGCTGGTCGAGGCTGCAGTGGCCGTGAGCATGCTACTGCACTCCAGTCTCAGCGACAGAGTGAGACTCCTACTAAAAATAAAATAAAATAAAATAAACATAGAGTTACCATCCAACTCATCAATTCCACTCCTAGGTGTATACCAAAGAGAAATGAAAACATGTCTTCACACAAAAACTTGCATACAAATGTTCATAGCACCATTATTCACAGAAGAAAAAAAGTGAGAACTCAAATGTCCACCAACAGGTGAATGAATAAACAAAATATGGTATATCCATACAAAAGACTGTATTACTCAGCCATAGTCAAAATCCTCGTGCCATAACATGAGAGAAATGGGGAGTGATAGCTAATGGGTATGATAGCAATGGGGAGTGATAGCTGATGGGTAGAGGGTTTCCTTTTGGGGTGATATTTAGAATTATACAGTAATGATAGTTGCACAACTCTAAAAACTACTGATTGATTACTTTCAAAGGATGGATTTTATGGTAACAGGTCACTTAAAAAAAATCCTCATGGCTCCACTATGCCACACCAAGTATCCAATATAAATAAAATAATCCAACCGATCCAGTGAAAGACACTTTGTAGGAAGACATCTTGGCATACTACAACACTATCCTCAAAGCTAACATTAATAATGTCGACTAGCTACTCTGCCTTATACTTATCACTTTACTTCATCTTAATCACCATTGTGAGATAAGTGTAATTCTTATCCCTATGTTGCTGAAGAGGAAACAGAGGCTAAGTAACTTTCCCGAAGTCAGCCACATAGTAGGACATAGTAGGACATAGGAGTCTAAGAGTCAGGCACTGAACTCAAGTCTAACTTCAGTGCTCAAGTTCTTAAGAAATCACCTCATACAGTAAAGATATATCCTAAAGCATCATATGGTCTTCATAAAATGCTGATTATCTTCAATCTGTTTTTAAAATCCTGTTTTTTGATACTCTTGGTTTCTTACACTTGCTGAGTCAAGGAAAGCATGACACTTGTATCATTAAGGAGCACAGTCATGCCATGCATTAGCCAAATCATATTAAGAGACTTTGAGCTTTTCACCCAGCAAGGGCCAAGATTTTTACTATTTTATTTTCAATTGTTTTATATGCTTCAACACCTAGTTTCACCATCTTTTAATTAGTCCCAAACTTATTGTCAGAATCAAGTCTAGTTTTAAACAAGCAACTGTGTATCTTGACTAAGACCTCATTAGCCGCAGACTTGACTTAAAAGTCTAGTTGAATACAGTATCTTTTGATACTAAAGATAACGGGAAAATATATTCCCACTTGCTGGAAGACTCAAATACTGTGAGGACTCGAGCAAACTGGAAATCTTGTCTCATTCGATTATACCTCAGCATCATCAGAGTTGCCATAAATTCCACATAGTTTTCAGAAGTAGAGATAAAATGAGGCCAATCTAGACTACTCAGAGCCCCTAAAAAGAAGTACAAGGTTGGGAAAGAAAAATGAGGATCTACTGACAATCTGTTTGCTATACATGACGTAAGTGCTTCACATGTGCTGCCTTGGTTAATACTTGTAACTGCCCTATATCATAAATTGGTTTTGGCATCCATTTACAGATGAAGAGGCTCCAGAGATGAAGCAAATTTGTCCAAGATCAGACAGCTTGTAAACTGAGGGGGAGGAAATTCAAACTTAGGTCTCTTCTGCATTTTCTACTACACCCACTTCTATTTCGTGGACAGACATCCACCAAGAGTTCCAAAAGAGAATTGTACTGACCTCAGAAAAGCTTGTACTACTCAAAGAATATCCCAGAATCCAAAGGGCAGAATGCATCAGGGTTTTAATTAGCTCAAGTCAAATAGTCTTTAAATTTTCTGGTCCTGACTCCTGCTAACATTCAAAAATCAGTTACATCCCTCTTCAGAATTATGAAGACCTCAAATACTCGCCTACCCCCTAAGTTTTGTTATTTAAATCAAACCACATATGATGATCACTGAATAACTTGGAAACATTTACGCAAATTTCACTTAAACATATAAGACAGATTTGAAGGATCAAATCCCTACACTAAGTTGAAAATTATCATCACACAAAAAATTTTAAAAATGGTGAAACCCAGAGCTTCCTGATAACAAGATGTTTTTCATCTACTGATTACCTCTCTGCAGCACTAGCTATGTGAAAAATGTGATCATCTTCATTCTGTAACCGTTCTTTTCTCCTTCTTTCAATGTCATGTCGTAGGTCATTTGGATCTATTATTTTGACCAGAGTCTGAGGAATTTTGACAGAAGACAAACCATTCACATTACTGTTAGTTGCACAAAGATCATTTCTAATAAGAACCTTAATTAAAATTTCTACATAAGTTATCTTATACTCATCTTGCTAATGGTAGTATAAACTGATACAAATATTTTGAGACACAATTGACAATACATAGTCAGAAAAGTTCCTCACATTGAACTAGGAATCCCACTTTTGGGACTCTAACTCAAAGAAAATGCTAACTACCTAAATATATTCAAAATATTATATTTAAAATAACAAAAAATGGAAGCAGCTTAAATTTTTAAAAATTTAGGAGGAAAGAAAGAATGATGAAATAAATTATGGTAAACAGCTCAAAGGAATAACGTATAATAATTTAAATTATGGTAATAAGCCGGGCTCGGTGGCTCAGCCTGTAATCCCGCGCCTTTGGGAGGCTGAGGTGAGTGAACTGCCTGAGCCCACGGGTTAGAGATCCGCCTGGGCAGCGAGACCTCATCTCTACAATAAATAAAAAACTCAGCCGGGTGTGGTAGCACAAGCCTGTAATTCTGGCTACTTGGAAGGCTGAGGCGGAAGGATCGCCAGAGCCCAGCAGGTCAAGGCTGCGGTGGCCGGGAGCGGCCACTGCACTCCAGTCTAGGCGACAGAGTGAGACTCCAACTCATAAAAAAAAAAATTATGGTAATAAAGACTATGTGGAAGTCGACATGGAAAAACACTTATTGAAAAAAGTTAATTAAAACTTAAAAAAACCTATTTAAAAAAAACTTTAAAAATCTGTATCATAAAAGGTCATAAGGCATTCAGAGATTTTTTATACAAAAGGAATATTATTATGGATTAAGTAAAAAGAAAGTAGTATGCAAAACTGCATGCTCTATGACAATATCTATGTTAAAATGCAAGACGTAAGACTGCAAGAAAAGATGATCAAATAATACTTTGTGTTAAATGGTTGAAATATAGATAATTTTTAAAAATTCTCAAATTTCCTATAAGTTAATTATAGTACTTTGATGACTAGAAATTTTCTGAAAAATCATCTATTCAATAAGTTAATTCCCTCCATAAGTTCAATAAAAATTGCAATCATTTCACAAGTTTAAAAATTATTTATATATTCTATCAGGAATGTATTGAAATACCTTCTTTACAAAAACTCTTTACTCTCAATGAATAAATTAACAGTTCTTTTAGAACTTGATATAATTCTTCTAAAACAAGAGCCAGTTTTCTTCCCTCCCTGGCTAGTCAAGATAGTCTTTCTAATTAGCAAAGAAATGAGAGGTGGGAGGGAAGGTGTTGGGTGGGAACCACACACAACACATGAATAAAGAAAATTAGTCCCTTACTTTGCTAGTACATCTTCCACAGAATCTTTCATATATTCTACAGTAAACAGAAGGGTAACATCATATGAAACTTAGCTCCTATGCATTCATTCCATGTACAATTTAAATATATATTCCACATTACTGCTATGAAAAAACAGGCATTGAATATACTTTCTGCAAGCTTTAGAATGTGGAGTTTTGGAATGAATATTAAACACTGTAATTTTGTGTCAAATTTACAAAGTTGTTATCCTTATGGATTATCCCTCCTAGGGATTATTTTTGTCTTTTGTCAGTATTCTCACTCCAATCTGGCTGATAATCAGAATCACTTGGAGAGCTTTTAAAATTTCAAACTCCTGGGTCTCAATCCTTCTTCTTTGTGTACTTTAACTCCCTTTTTCACTTCCAATCATCAATCCCCTTTCCCATTAGCCCCTTTCCCACAGCAAGATAATCTCTCATCAAAAATTGTATTCACCTACCTGTTCTGATTCATATATCATAGTTTGTTTACTCTGAAGTTCGGCCAAAGACATATCTATTCTCCTAAGATAATAAAGACACATTACAATTAAATAATTATGTTATACACTGATGCCTTGATTCTACTACTTCAGAACAGAATTTGAAATAAAGCTGGTATGTTTTGGAGAAAGCAAAAGAAACTTGCTACCAGGTAGTTTCTCCCTTAATATGGCAGTCTCCCCAGATATACATATTCTGTGAATCATATTACAGGCAGCTTCAGTGGTTCTTAAATCACTAGTCTGTGTAAACTCAAACCTTGCTCTGGTGATACACTGCACTCTAATATTGATTCAACTCAGCTCACATGACAGGGTGCACCACCTATTCAAACACATGCCAGCAGAAGAAGACACATATTTTCATCCAGCTGCCCTAGAACAGCCGTTTGTGACCACATGAAGCAGCCCATGATTTCAATGGCTTGACAACTGTATTTCATTCTTCCAGTGATAATCTCAGTAGACAATTACTATAGACAGCAGAATCAAAGTTAGCTAGGTCAATATTTTCAAAGTCCTACACATTTAAACAATGCTAGTCAGAACCTATTCATTCCATCTAAGTGTAGTGGCCCAGTACCTGTGTGGGTTAGCCTTGTTTTTATGTGGAAAATGCAATCCTAGAATCTACAGCAAGCCCACGTGAGCAGGCTCAGAAAGCAGCACCTTCCCAAATCTGTTCTGAGACTTATTCCCATGAGTTAAATGGGTATACAGTAATCAATCATTACCTGTGAATTTCTGGATCTGAATTCAATTTTATTTCATTTATATCTGCATCGTGTATATGTCGCATTGTTGAGAATCGCTCATGTAGAGTAATGCCAAGTGATGGAAAATAGTTTGCTGAAAAAGGAAATAAACAGATTTAACTCAATGTAGAACTAGATCCACTTAAAAGATCATATGTAAGCACAGGAAGAAGGGACTACAAAAAAATCCAACCTGTTTTCTCAAGAAAATATGTGGGACCCAAACTCATTTCGCAGACTAATTTATAGTACTCACATGCTTTCCCAAGCCCAAGCAAGAGTAAAAACACCTGATTTATGAATCCAAGGATTTTCTTCCTATCTGACCGGCCTGCTTACTGGTCCAAGGAAAAGAGACAGTGGCTCTCTCAAAACAAGGACCTTTCTTCTCCAAGGTAAGACCATACTATATCTGGGAAGCAAAGGTGGCACAGAGCTTCACAGTTGAATGAAAATAAAAATTAACTCCAAAACCAAGCCTGAAACATCAAAATAATTCTAAACAAATGCTAAATGTTATGTTTACATATCACAAGAAGGCCTTCTACTGCCATTTTAGTTTAATTAATATGAACTGAAATCCATGAAAACATTCTGAAATCAGCTATGCTACACATTTTTAATAGGATATAGAGAAAGAGAATACACTTGACCCATCAGAATGCTACTTAAACAACCCTTTTTCCTAATTTGTTGTTCCTGTTCTGGGACAATCTCCTGAATTTTTCTGCAATACCAGCTCAATTTCTGCCAAGAGTCACACTTCCTTTGGGTGAGAGGGGCTGGAGCTAAAAAGGTGAACTGTTTCAGACAAACTATGTGCTATCGAAGTAAATACATGCCTTAGTTTGAGGGACGCAGAGAAAATAATTCATTTCCAAAATATGTTTTATGAAGGTAAGAAAGATTAATGCCATTATCTAGTAAGAAGTAAAAAATGAAATATTTGAAATTCTTGAAGGCCTCCAGGTTATAATACCCACAATTGCCTTATTCATGCAGCATCACTGGGGAAAGTTGTTCTACATCACTGAATTTTCCAATTAATGGAAATTTGCCAGAAGCAGAAACAAAACAATTTAATGCAAATCATTAAAGAATGTATTATGCAACTCCCAGCCATGAAGAATGCCCAAGCAAACTGGAATCTTTCACTGATAACTCAGCATCATCCTTAAGGCACAAAGTTCCAGTAATGCCCTCAGTGGACTTTAAGAATACCACAAAATGACCTAAGGTTCCCGACTTCTTGAGTTTCCTGCCTGTTTTCTGTTGCTTCTTCCTCGCTGTTATGCTATCAGTTATTGTTTCTTGCTCTCAGTATGTATTCCTGTCCTTTCCAACAGCTGGCCTCTCCCTTTCTAACTTGCAATTTCTATTCTGCTAACAGTTGAAGCACAAAGTTATTGGAACTATGTATAAGGAACATCTAGATTTGAATGAATGCCTGATATTCTCTCCAAAAGACTTCCTAATTCATGATCTAACTTAAATATCAATTACTATTAAGCTATAGTGCAGGTGTTTAGTTTACCTGTATCTTGTGAAAAGTTAGTACATTATTTTTGTGTTATCCCTAATGTATGTGCAAAATATACCAACCTTTAACTTGATGGATTATTGTTATGATTTCCTGAGCAAATTCTCCTGTAGGTTTGTTTTCAGTATTCTGAGTTGAGTCAAGATGTTCAAACACTGGATGAAAGTTCTCACTTTTCCTGCCAACAGCAACCAAATCATGTGACATCTGTCTCTCTGTGGAATAGCTAGAAGCAACCCTAGAATAATTTGCAAATGTTTAACTAAATTTGAAACTATTTTGCTGAGAAAAAAACTTATAAAATTAAGATACCTATAAAACTAAAAAGCTGTTTATCTTTTCTTATAATTAAGGCACTAAATAATATGCCATAAAACACGTACAATAACAAGTAGGAGAAAATAGCTATAAGTACATGACTCTGAGTTCTTTCAAATCAGAGGTCATCAAATATTTGCCACTTTAATAAAATCCTTAAAATTCGAAGTGAAACAATTTTTACTTCAAAAGATACAAGAAATTAAAGACACTTAATATGCAAAATGTAATCAATTAGAATAGTTTCTACTCCCAAATGGCCAAAACATTGTAAATCCAGCAAGATTATACTACTTTGAAATACTACCAGACTTTAAAAGCTGCTATTAAACATAAGAACCTCTCCAACTGCATAAAAATTCTTGTACATCCATATCAGTCATCAAAAGCTTAGAATAGTATTTTGAAATCAAATTCTAAGATATTAAAATATTCATTTAATTACAAAGTCTCACTAAATTCTCAGAAAATAGTCTTAGTTGTTAACAAAGTTATGATATTCAATGCCAGTTAATGGTGTTTACCCCAATACAACCTTAAAGAAATGCTACTATTTATTATATAACCCCAGCAATCTTAATGCCTTCTGAATCTTATAACTTTCATTAAGAGCTCTCCTGACCTGAGTATTGTTATAAAGTAATGAGTATGATATATAGCTAACAATTATTGAGAGCTTACCACATGCCAAACATGTGGGCTTAGAGCTTACTGATATTATTTCATTTAATCTTTACAATAGTGCTATGGAGAAGGCGCCATGATGCTGAGACAATGGATGTCCTGGTTTTGTTTTATATCCCAGAGGCCAAGCATTCAAATGAACATTAGTCTTTCAAATGTCATGAAAACTATACCTTATTGCAAAATTTCTGCTCTTGCTTAAAACCTTAAATTCTTCATCTGGAGATAGTTTATGCATCACTGAAGAAAATGTCTCATTGTTTTATATTTATATCTCATTTTGAACTTAAAATGGCACTAATCAGTTTGTACCCATCTTATTCCTCTGTACTGTAACTTAACTCTAAATTGCTTTTGGCTCTTCTCAAAAATCAAGTTCATTGTCCAAAGAATTGAGATTTGTGCTGGGGTCCTTTATAAGTAAGTTACAGGCTCCAAAGATAAATCCAAAAGGGAGCCCTATTATTTTAAATAATAGAGTACTGCTAGAATAAATAATATTTCATAACAAAAAGCAAACATACAGATACATTTGGGGGCATGCACACATTTACTTATTTAAGCCACGTAACAGCCATATATCCAAACCTGCTGCAGGGTTATGATGGGCTTACAGATATTCTTTAACTAAAGAATCTAACCCCTCTAGCAAAATGGTTTTGAGCATCTATTTATAACTTATTAGAGGAAGACCTTCCATCTGACTTTCCATGCTCCCTGCTCTTAGACCAGCACTGTCGTAGAAAACTCCCTGCCAAGGCAAAAACAGAAAAGTGATTATGCAGCAGGTTGATGCCACTGTTGTGGTTTCCTTGATTCATTAGAAGGACTTTCATTAGAAGGCCCATTTTTCTTCTTTCCTCCTAATTTGCTCCAAGCTTCCCACTGTGTATCTGATAACTAGCTAAGAGATGTTTACTGATAAACACTAGAACACCTTGTAACAATCTCCACTAACAAAGAATTACAAATGCTCCCTGTTTAAAGGAGTCTAATGTTACAAAAAGTCTGTTCCACCCAAAAAAAAAAAAAAAAAAAAAGCTCTTAAAAATATTTTATAGGAGGAAAAATAAAACATTTAAATAGAACTATAAAAATGGTCTATCTCCAAGGGGAAATCAGTAGATAAGTTTTCTTTGGAAGACTCAGTTTCTTCCAAGAGGAAATCAGATGATAAAGTTATCCCGTTTTTCAGTGGTAATTATTAATATTTACTTGTAATTTCTTAAAAATTAATTACTGGCATAACTCTTGTCCCCACTCTATGCTCAATTCTCAATCTATAGAAGTGCTGTGATATACTTTGAAGCTATATTTAATTCCTGAAGTTTGCATGTTTAAAGTTATCAGTTTTAATTTATCCTAGAGTTCCCCCACTATAAGATTTTTAATAAAAAATATATACATTAAAATAGCATAACCCCCAAATTTTAAGAACAATTATGATACTGTTGCTACAAGAAAAACCCTCTCCAGACTTGGGAATGCAAAATGTTCAAAGTATTTACATTTGTAAATAATCATCTCTTGGTTCACATTTTCCTTCTTACTATTTCCTATGACATGGACTGATCACAAGTTAATAATTTCACGAAATATCCCCAAAGCAAGTAGTTAAGCTAAAAAGATCAAATGTTCTCATTCGAGATACACTTTAGACAATTTTTAAACTAAATTTTTATTTTAAATTAAAATACAGCCAAAACCCGATATTCTAATACAATTTCTGGTACTGGTCTCATTAAATCTTCCAAGTTGATTTGTTCTCTCTCTTCATTCTCCCCCTGTTTATTTATCTGTTTAAGGATATTTCTACTGATGTTCTCCCTGAGTATTGTGCATAATAACTAAGAAAATATAAAAAGCTACATTAAACCTTAATTTCCTATTTTATACATTTAGGACTGATAAAAAAAACTGCATAGCAAAACAACAACATATTAAAAATTTAAAAAACAAACAACAAAAAAAACCCCAACAACAAACACCAAAACCAACAGATTTCTCTGCCCTCTGAAAGCTTATAAGATATAACAAAGTCCATGACACATATAGTTTTCCTGTTTTCTTCCAACTAATAACTAACATTTTACACAGCCTGCTACAGTTCATAAAGTACTTTCCCAATTACAGTCACCTGCAGCAGATGGACCACATATACGAAGTTGGCCCATTCATGTTATAATGCTGTATTTTTACTGTACTTTTTCTACATTTAGGTATGTTTAGATACCATTACCTACGGTATTCAGCACAGTAACATGCTGTACCAGTTTGTAGCCTAGGAGCAATATTCTGTACCATCCATCGCCTAGGTGTATAGTAACCTATGCCAAATTTGTGTAAGTACTCTAGGATGCTAGCAGAGTGACAAAATCGCCTGATGACACATTTCTCAGAACATATCACCATCATTAAGCAATGCATGACTGTATTATTTGATCCTGTCTTCCTAAAAACATGTTTAGAAATTTTGGAGTTGAGGGAAAGCGGGTAGAGAGAGTACTACTCCCCTAATTCAGCATCCCACTACTTTTTTTCACAGAAGTCCTTTATGTGCCTCACCAGCCCCAGCACCCATCCAATCCACCTTATATCCACACAACAGACGCAATCCTTCCACATCAGAACTAGTTCGCCTGCCCTCCCCTACCAGCTAACAATGTCACATCAGGCTGGTAGCTGTGGCATCCTTACCTTCCTGGTCTCTTCCCTCTCTATTTCTTTTCACTGACTGCTCAGAGCCACACAGTTTAAAGTTCTTGTGTATATTTTTCTGCTATTGTTAACCTGTAAGTATAGACTTTCTTTTGCCTCATCTCTACATGTCTAAAACACACCAGCCTTTAAAGCCTAGCTCACATATCAACTCCTACATGAAGCCATCCCTGAATCTCCCAGCTTGGTACCACCCAACCTGCTGCTGAGTCGCATACCATCTCACATTTCACTCACTGTACTACGGTATCACCAACATCACCTTATTTGTCAATAAAGCCAAAGGAGAAGAAACCTAATCTTATGCATCTCTGTAATCCCAGAGTACCCTAAAAGGATGTCTCACAAAGGGCAGGTCCTCAAAAAAATTACCCATTGAATGAATAAATGATGACTAGAAAATGACTTAGACCACTTGAAATGAGTGTTTCAGCTAAAGGGATAATAGACTTCAACATTTTAATTAAGGCCAATTTAATTTTGCTTTTAAACTTTCTATTTTAAACTTTTTACTTAAATTTAGACCAATTTAAATTTTAAAATATATATTTTAATAATACAAGACCTCAAATACACACAAAAGTTCAGAGAATTATATCATGAACCTCCATGTGCCTGTCAACTCAGCTTCAATAGATATTAAAACATAGCCAATCCAAGCAAACTCAGAGCCAGGAGGAACTACAGGTTGATTTGAGCCCAAAAGGGTATAGACAGGTGGCCTGTCCCATGTCACAGGGCTACTCAGTGGCTCACAAAAAGACAAAAACCTATGTACTCCAATCACCATCAGAATCCCTATATAAGGCTCCCTAAGAGATACTAAGAGAAGTTAGGGTGAAGAATAAGAATGAAAGAAAACCTTTTCTCAATTAATTTTTGATTTAAAAAATGCATGTGAGAAATATTGGGGGGGGATTTAGTTTTTTATGCTATATAACAGCAAGATGGCAAGTTTGGGTATCAAAAATATCTTTACTTACTGCTTATTTTGACTCCAGCTGAACAATGTCTATCATAGATAAACTTGTATGATAAGTGATCTTCCTTCAATTGGAGTTATGGTTTTCACATTGTTCCCCACCTGTGTGACACCCCTTTCCTTAGAATATCAGAGTTCCAATACCCTCTGGGGCCTAACACTGACCTCATCCTCTTTCAGAATGTGGAAAGGTCTGATATGGATAGAGAGATCTCTGTATCTTTTCATTGGGAAATGAAGTAATTGATCAGATGCAAATGTGGCCTACATACTCAGTCCACCATCAACTCTAACCCCATAACACCGATGTGTAGTATCAGTATCCCAGGAGACCAAAGAAGCCTCAGGTCCATCAGCAGCAGCTTATTCTGCTCCAGAAACTAGTACCACCTCCTTCTTCCTCCTCAATCCAATTCTTCCCTGGCCTAACCAGGGGTCAGTCCCGCACCTACTCAGCCCAACATTAAACTAACACCTTCATCTGCCTCAAGACTTCCAGATGTATATAACAGTTTGTGTTTTGGGTATATAACAACCTTAGAAGACATTTTCATGTTGTGATTCCCTAACTTACATTCTAAAACATATAATTATGACTTATACGTAACTTCTGATAATGAGGTTTCTAACAGAGTGGGTCACTAGGATACAGTCTTTGTTAACAGAAGTATTAACTATGTAGTGAACATTCATTCAAGTGTCTACCTACTGCTGTTGTTGATACAAACTGGAATCTAGAAAAATCTCTAGGTGACAACCTTATTTTTTCAACCATACTATAACTGGGAGCACAAATATCAATACTTGACCAAAGTTCAGAAAGTAAACAAGTACATAAACTTAACTATCTCAGGCTTTCCATAAAAATGGATACTCTCCAGATTTTAACCAACAAATAAACCTCTCTCTGCACTCTGATTAGTCTTCTCTAGAAAAGTAACATCTAATTTATGTTAATAGCTGAAAATATAATTCTATCAAGGATATTAACTACCTTTGTTTATGGATACTTCATCAGTCCACCTGCAATTAAATCCAACCCACAAAACTCCTCTGTAATTCATTTATCAATAAATAAATATTGTGTTGACTATGATGCTTTATCACACTGAAAAGATACAGGTTATCTGTTCAGTTAATTTTCAGGTCTTTGAATAGAGAGGATTTGCACTGGAGGCTCTGCATTACACAAGTAATTCTGTGGACCCTGTTCAGGTGTTCAAACATAGGTTGCCAGACCCCATGGACAGTACAGTTTATAAATGCAAAACAAAAAATGCAGCAGCTCCAATTTTAAGAAGCTCATTTTTGTGACACATGAAGATCAAACTTCCACTTTCTCATATCAAATTATAAAATTAACTGTTCAGTGTCTCAAATGAAGTCTATTAAAATAAAATCCTTCAAAATTGGTATTTCTAGCATCCTTTTTTTTTTTTTTGAGTTGGAGTCTCACTCTGTCACCCAGACTGGAGTGCAATGGCACATTTCCCGCCACCACAGCCTCGACCTGCTGGGCTCCAGCGATCCTTCCGCCTCCGCCTTCCAAGTAACTGGAACTACAGGTGCGTGCTACCATGCCTGGCTAATTTTTAAAATTTATTTATTGTAGAGATGAGGTCTCACCAAGTTGCCTGGGTGGCCTCCAACCCGCGGGCTCAGGCAATCCACTCACCTCGGCCTCCCAAAGTGCTGGGGTTACAGGCTGAGCCACTGAGCCCGGCCTCTAGCATTCCTTAAAAGTGTTACAGACACTCTTTTAAGTATAGAACACTTAATTACCCAATATGGGGGTATAATTAATTTATTAAAAAGTTGGATTTTTATGCATTTGATTGTACATAAAAAAAAGCAGAACTGTAAACAAAAGTTAATTACTGCTTTTAAATACTACTGTTAAAGTAGTTAAAGAGGAGTGTACTGATGTTTGAAACTTACTTTGAAATACTGTATCAAAAAAATAAGATGGAATGATAGATGAATAAATAGATATGTGATTATGAAAGTAAACTGTTAACTGTAGACTCTAAGTGGAGGGTATGGGGGGACCCCCAAAAAACTAGAACTTATTTATAAAAAATTGTGTATTTATTCTTACATGTTTAAACTTCAGTCACCTTCAAAGTACTCATTTGATGCAAAATACACCTATCGAGACATTTTTTCCACTACTCAAAAACAGTTCTGAACTCATCAATTTTGATACCTTTTAGTGCTTCTGCCATTTTTTTGTTTCACCTCTTTCACACTGGCAAAAAGTTTGAGGTCTTTTTTCACCAGGGAAACAAACAAACAAAAAAGTCACTTGGGGCAAGATCGGGTGAATAGGGAAGTTGGGGCATGGGAGTCATTCTGTTTTTTTGGGTAAAAACTGAACACTCAGTGCAGTGTGGGCAGGTGCATTGTCATGGTGGAAGAACCAGTCACCTGTCTGCCACAACTCAGGACGTTTCTTCTGCAAATCATGATGCAACCTTATCAAAACATCCAGATAAAAACTTTGGTTGACTGTTTTATCCAGAGGAACAAATTCTGAGTGTACTACAAAGGGCCCACCCTCCAAAAGATAATTCTGTTTTTTGGGGTTCCCTTTCATATAGGTGTTCACTGTGTAATTTTTTCAACTCCTCTGTATGTTTGAACATTTTTATAAAACAATGTTGGAAAGAAAAAAGCTTAAGGTAATGTTCTTAAACTAGGTGCTTACAGCAGACTCTGGGCTCTTAAGATTAGGAACTAGTAAGAAATATAATAGCACAAAATTATTTAAGACATACAAAATGATATTAAATTATTAATATATTATGGTAGCCATATATAAACATACATACAAAAATAACAAAAGGAACTATACTAAAATGCTAATAATTTAAGGTTTTACTATCCTAGGTTAGTAGAACTATGGATGATTTTTGCCCCTTTATTTTTCTAACTTTCTGTAATATAATCTACTTTTTTTTTTTTGAGTCGAGGTCTCACTATCACCCAAGGCTGGAGTACAGTGGCATGATCACAGCTCACTGCAGCCTCAACCTCCCAGGCTCAGCTGATCCTCAGTCTTCCAAGTAGCTGAGACCACAGGTGTGTACCACTATACCCAGCTAATTTTTTAAAATTTTTGTAGAGACAAGGTCTCACTATGTTGCCCAGGCTGGTTGTGAAATCCTGGGTTCAATTGATCCTACTGACTCAGCCTCCCAAAATACTGGGATTACAGGTGTGAGTCACTATGCCTGGCCACTATAATCACACTAATAAATGCTTTCTGTGCACACATAAAATACATATACGAATAGCTGAATGTATTTTCTGGAAGTGCAATGAATATAAAAGAAATAGGAAGGGTGACTGCCATGTCTAAATTTAGGAAAAGGAACAAAACATATATTGGTGTTTTGTTGTTGTTGTTGTTGTTTTTTAGTCAGAGTCTCAGTCTGTTACCCAGGCTAGGGTGCAGTGGCACGCTGCTCACGGTTACTGCAGCCTCTACCTGCTGGCTCAGATGATCCTTCCACCTCAGCCTTCAAGGTAGCTGGAACTACAGGCGTGTGCCACCACACTCAGCCAATTTTTTGACTTATTGTAGAGATGAGGTCTCACCATGTTGCTCAGGCTGGTCTCGAACTCAGGCAATCCTCTTGTCTCTGCCTCCCAAAGTGTTGGGATTACAGGCGTGAGCCACACATCCAGTCAAAACATATATTGTTTAAAAAAAGGGAATTGTGGTTTTACCTCCCTTCTCCCCCATCCTAACCTTTGGATTTTGTTTCCTCTTGTTTTTTATTCAAATACAAATATGAGTCAACCGTGAATGTAGATGTCCCAAATCAACACAGTCTATCGCTTGTTCATTCACATACTGGTAGTAGATTAAGGTAATGAACATATTCAGCTGACACAGCCAGCTACAGTCCATAAGTGGAGGTAACATTCACAATGGAAAAAAGCACATAAGTCTACTCTAAGAGAAGAGAACCTATTACAAGCCTATTTTTTAAAGAACCATTAAGAACTAAAGCAAATGTCTTATAAATAGTCTAATTTCCTCTATCTGGGAGAATCTAGTTGGTTGAGTCCCAGTCATTTTGAGATGGCAGCAGAAACCACATTAAGTTACTTCATTCCTTAAGTCACAAGGGGACATGTGGATTTGAGCCCCAGTCACTCTTAGACAAGTCACTTCATCTTTCAGTGCCTCACTTTCCTCATCTATAAAATTAGGGCCTGCTAAGGTTCCTTCCAGCTCAAAAATTCTCTGAATTTCAGGCAAGAAGAAACACCGGCTCTAAGAAACTGAGCAAGGAATAGGTCTTCTTGAACTCTACCCAGTCCATTCTTGGATAAAGAAAATCTGGCAGCATAAAAACATGTAAATTCAACTCCATGGAATGCCCTACACCCAAGAAGACCTAAGCATCTGCAGATAGGATGTGGAAACAAGGAGACACAAGATCACCCCCATATAACTAATCATAGGAAACATTTTCAGGGCTTTTTGGGGAAAATTTAGGCAATCCCCACCTTGATGGACTCTAAACACACTACATTCCATTTTTGAAGCTGCAAATAAAGATGACAGAAACATTTATTAACTATAATAAAGAAAAAAGTTAATACCTGAATGTGTCTACTGCTTTCTTCACATCTACTTTAACTGTAAGTAATTTCTTCCTAAGATTGACAGATGAGGGTTTCACATCAGAAAGTTTTTGACTTTTATCAAGTTGGTTACTGGAAGAGTCGCTCTCTTTTCTGAAATCCCCTTCTCTTTTTTCCTTCCACTTGTCATTACAGGGCCTCAAATCAACATCATTTCTACTTGAATGAGGACAGGCAATGTAGTCTTTCTTAGATGGCTTAAAAGGTTCTTTGACTTGCCCATCTTGAGTCTCTCTCTCTCTTCCAGCATTAAAACAATCTAACTCTCTATTTACAGGGCCTTTTTGAGAACTATATTTTCTATCTTCTTCTTTAGAGTACTTCTGAGTTCTCCAATCAGAAAAGTTCTGGTCCCCATCTAAGGGTTTAGGACGTTTGTGACGATAATCATAGGATACTTTGGTTGCTGAACTGGTCTCTGGGTGTTCCCTCTCAATGTATCGGTAAGTTTGGGGCCCAAGGTTCCACTGGTCTTTCTTCTCTTGGTAAGATGGGAGGGAATGCTCGGGCTTCCACTTTGGGTTCCTGGCAGGCTCTCTGTTTTCATACCTCTCCACGTCTTTAGGCCTTTTTGATGTGTGTCCATATTTTCTGAAATCACGATCCTCAGGATACCTGTGTTGACATAAAGCAGTTTACACTTGCACTAGACAGAAGAAAGTGAGAATTTATATGTGTAGAATGTTGGGCAGCATGGCTTTAAATGCAGAATGCAGTGGCAAGTTAACCTATAATCCCTCAAGCCAATTCACAGAAGCACAAGGCAGTTAAAAAGGAAAGTACCATCTTTTAAAAAATATTCTAGATATCAATATTATTTACTCTAAGAAATATTTCACTACTACCAGGAGACCATAACTAAATTACAATGCTTTTTATCTTTTTAGACAAAAGCTTTTCAAGGTGGTTATCTTCAACCATAAAGTAAACAGAATTTTTCATTTGAAGCTTTATACCAAATTACCCAGGTTTAATGTTTTCCTATACCTCTTCTGAAAAGAGCTCCTTGTCTCAAAGTCTTCAGAGCCTCTTCTAGGTGACTGGGAATATTGTTCTTCTTGTATCCTCTGGTGCCTCAACTCATCTTCATGCCAGTTTCCTTCAAATCTAAAAGAATCTGCTACTGACCTCTGAGGTGGTTTCCCTCCTTTCCCACTTCCTCTAACTCTGTGGTCATCAGGAATATACCTTCCTTGCACTTTCTGGGGATAACAATTCCTCTCATGCTCTTTATAGGGTACACCTTCTGAGTATTTGTGCATATACTGAGATCTTCTGTTACTGTCCCATCTTCCAGGCGAATATCCTCGGTGAGGCTTATACATATAAAAACTTTCTAAAGAGTTTCTTCTTATGTTAGGGGAAGGCGATCTATGTTCATAAGATCGGTAATATATATTTCCACGAGAGGGAATCCTTGGTTTACTCTGTCCATGTTTCTCACTGTCCATTCTCCAAGTGATGGGTCTTTTTGGATCCTTCCTATATTCACAGCCATAATGCCCATGAGAATGTCTTTGCTTGTAGTATTCAGAGTTTCTAGGTACTGGTGATAAAGACCTATATAAATAGACACAGAAAAGTATAATCTATTTAAAGACAATACACTAAGTTTGTCTAATATAGCCTATCTGAAACATTTGCTTTTCCTAGAATTCCACTGCTTCTTCCATTCAAATTAAATTAATCAATTTGCTATATCTGCATTCTCAATTGTACATTTTGGGGTCTTATTATGGTACACCCAATTCAACAAGCATACTCTTTCCATCTGCACTAATGTATTCCACGTGCTTATCAAAATGAACTGAGCATATCTGTCCTATTAGAGGAGGACCAAATTAGGTATATAGCAGGATCCACTTTGGAAGATTGCTGACAACAAAGTTCTGGCAAAAGGAGATGCAGTGACTTCAAAGGGCCAGTCAGCAAAAGTTTACATCAGGTTCAACCGTCACATAAGAAACAAGCAAGTGGGCTATATTCACACAAATAAATGTGTGGGAGAGTGTCTGGAAAACTGAACATGTCCTCTGAAAATAAACCAGATTCTAAGATTTAATGATTCTATAACCCAAACCCAGATCCAGAGTTTCTCCAACTGATTGTCTGTTTTCTCTACTAAGGCTGTATCAAGAAGCATAACACATATACTTAACTGGGGAAGAGAAGGGGCAGAAGACGGTCTTAAGACTTGAATCGCATGCTTACCTCCTCCATAAATACTTCTAATATAGATAAGCTGCTTTTCTTTCCCAAACCTGTGCCCTTACACATAAATGGAAAGATATGCTATCCAAACAGCTTGTAACTTTGATGGAGGAATGCTTTAATACAGCTATACTACTCTCACAGAGTAGTAGAGCTGTATAACGATCTCCAAGTATCCTTTCTGTAACTACCTTCTCCAGTACCTCAGCATTGCCAACACAGAGCCTTGTATTCCCACTAAGGAGGAAGGTGCCTGTAACCAAGGAAACCAGTCTGGGTTGCCTAGATTTAAAGAGAGAGGTGCGTCACTATCTAGAACATAACAAAGTTCCATTTTGCACCTGGGGACCTTGCCCCCATCTGACATGCCCAATTTCCTTGTCTCCTCCCTGAGGGCTTAATGTCTTCTGATGAGGAAGCTATCCTTTCAGCTTTTGTGATAGACCCTCTTAGAAGCTGCCATGGAGCTGGAGCAACCATGAATGAATCCCTTTCCTTCCAATGATAAGTCTGTGCCCTCCTTCACGTACCTCCTGTGACTTATATACTGGAGTTGACAATACTGCCCTCTGGAGTCACCAAACTAAACATACCGGCAAGTGTCATTTAGCTGAAGCAGAAACTCTGCCATCCAGCTAACTGGCTATACCTCGTCACAGGAGAAAACAAGTGAAGCCTCTGAGGACTTCCCAGAAGATCTCTTTCATTCCTAAGGCGAAAAGCTGATGGCCAAAGACAGAGGACTTTCAGACTGGATGAAACACCCAATATCTTACTTAATCCTTCCTTCACATTAAATATCGCTTTGCTATTTCACTTTACATCATATGCCTTATTGCATAGCACCCTTTCTTCTGATGGTTGCTAGAATGGTTGCTATTGTTTTTGGTTCTCCTTGAGGGACAAAAAAGACACAAGGAGTCTGTTGGGAGATAATTCTCTACAGTCTCTTGAGTTCTGCACGCCTTGCAAGCACCTTGTGAGCAGAGGCACTGATAGCTTTTGTTCCAAGGCAAACAGCCTTGGAAGACAGAGATAGGGTCTTCCTGGGGACAAAAGGATGGTTTGTTTGCTGTCCAGGATAATAAGATAAATGTCTCCTCCAAGGCAAAGCCTGGGAGGGTTTGTAGCCCCTGATAAGGGCTCCTCAACTGTGTCCTAGGCCCGCTGCCTGCACAGTAACCTCTCTGTTCTGGAGTATCCACACAGCTAGCCTCTCTGCAATGATGGCCCTCAGGGGACTTACAGGGTAAGGGGCCAACAGGAACATAAAGCTCAAGCTATCTGCTGTACTATGAGTAATAAAGGCCTTTGTCTCTGACCCAGGAGTGCCCTGTGGCATGCTAATGTGGGAGTTTACAGTAGAGTAAAATATCAGACCCTTTATAGTTCTTAACAAGAAACCAGAGAAGGAATCTGGAAATCATGCACTAAGCTTGGCAGGGTCTCTTGTGCCCCTCACCAGGGCCTTGTGTGTTATTAAGAAAGTACCTCTGTGATACCCTCCATGTTAAAATCATTCACTTCTTTACAGTCCCTTTGCTTCCTAAAGTTCCTTCCCATTACAAGTTGGTCTTGCAAATTACAAAATAAAAACTGTTGAAGAAATGATTGATTAGTCACTGTATAACCAAAATGAACAAGCACAATAGCCAAGTTACACTAACATGAAAAATCTTGGTCTGCCTTTTGTATTTGAAATCATGGTCCTTTTTTAAGTCCTAGAATGTACTAGTCTCGTTTACAGCTCTATGCCTTTGCTCTAGTTCTCTCTGTAACTGGAATACTTTTCTTCACTCTTTCTGTCTTTAGAAATTCTACTCATCCTTAAATTTCCAGTTAAAATTTTTTCATCTCTTCTTTGAAGACTTTCTTAGCATCCTCCTTTCTCTTTCACAAAAGTAGAATTATTCCCTCCCAGTAGATCCGGAATACTTTTTCCCAAACAGTAGCACAGTATTTTTTCTCATTGTACTGAAGTTGGCTATTGGCTATGCTTGCTGAGGCCATGGAAGATAGCATATTTGACTTTGTGACCCTAGAACCTGCCTATAGCAGGTGTACATTAAAGACTTGTTAAATTACTCCAATCTAACAATATATACTATTGATGCTACCAAGCAGGAAGGAGGAGAGCTGGCTTACTACTGAACTATTCAAAAGTCTTTTATTCTGCCATAAAGAAGAAATAGGAAACTCCCTATTTTCTAACTGTGAATTTCTTTAAACATATTGATCATAAAAAATAAAATGAGGCCAGGTGTGGTGGCTCACGCCTGTGATCCTAGTACTTTGGAAGGCCAAAAAGGGAAACTCACTCAAGCCTAGGAGTTCGAGACCAGCCTGGACAACATAGTGAGGCCTCATCTTTACAAAAAACTAAAAAACAATTAAGTCAGGCGTGGTGGTGTGCACCTGCAGTCCCAGCTATTCAGGAGGCTAAGGCAGAAGGGTCACCTGAGCCCAGGAGGTCAAGGTTGTGGTGAGCCATTATCATGCCACTGCATTCCAGCCTGGGCAAGAGAGTGAGACTCTTGACTCAAAAACCAAAAAAACAAAATGAAATACATACTGAAGAGTTCTAAACTACTCACAAATTCAAAAAATATAATGCTCTCAAGGATGTTTCTTATTTTTTCCTTGCTGTGGCCATGGCATTTCTTTCTACTATGAATTAATTCTAGCTGCCAGCTAGAATTAAATAAAGCTGTCAGCTCCTAAAATCTAGAAACACAACCTCTACCATGATAAAGCACCTACTGTGAATAACCAGGTATCATGATCTTGTTAAAGTAAGTTTGTACCAGTACTGGTGAAATGGAAAGTCACAGCACATCCCAAATCCAAGCTTACTCTGCTAACTAAGAACTGCTCACCTGTGTTTCCACCTGGGGGATCTAGATCGTGATCGTGCCATCCTTTGACACGTGAGCCACTGTCCACTTTTTATACTGCAAAGAAGCACAATATTAGCAAGTTTGTAGAAAGAGCCTGCAATTTGCTCTAAAACACAGTGAATGCCATCACGAAAAAATTACTTCAACTCCCTGTGCCTCAGTTTCCTCATCTGTGAAATAGAATAATAATAATAGCACTCTTCCTATTGGAATGTTGTCAGGATAAAAATGAATTAAATTGGGGATCAGCAAACTTTTTCTGCAAAGGGCCAAACAGTATCTATTTTAGGCTCTGCAGGCCATGTAAGATCTCTGTCACACCTGTTTTTTTCTTTAAAAAAAAAAAACATCGTGACCCACCTGGGCAACTTGGCGAGACCTCATCTACACAATAAATCAGAAAAATTAGCTGGGCATGGTAGCGTCTGTCTGTAGTTCTGGCTACTTGGAAGGCTGAGGCGGAAGGATCGCCGGAGACCAGCAGGTCGGGGCTGCAGTGGCCGGGAGCAGCCACTGCACTCCAGTCTGGGTGACAGAGTGAGACTCCAACTCAAAAAACAAAACAAAACAACTATTTAAAAATGTAAAGCTGGGCTCGGTGGCTCAGCCTGTAATCCCACGCCTTGGGAGGCTGAGGTGAGCGGATTGCCTGAGCCCGCGGGTTCGAGACCTGCCTGGGCAACTTGGTGAGACCTCATCTCTACAATAAATAAAAAACTAGCCGGGCGTGGTAGCGCGCGCCTGTAGTTCCAGCTACTTGGAAGGCTGAGGCGGAAGGATCGCCGGTGCCTGGCAGGTCGAGGCTGTGGTGGCCGGGAGCGGCTACTGCACTCCAGTCTGGGCGATGGAGTGAGATTCCAACTCAAAAAAAAATAGAAACATAAAAATAAAAATGTAAAACCATGGCTACATCACACTGAGATATGCCGTATGTGTAAAATACACATCAGATTTCAAAGACTTGATACAAAAAATGTACAATATTTTATTAATATAGTTCTAATATTGATTACATATTGAAATTATGTTTTGGTTTTGGGGGGTTTTTTTCTTCTTTTTTTGAAATGATATTTTGGATATTCTGGGTTAAATACACTATATTGTTAAAATCTTTTTTTTGAGTTGGAGTCTCACTCTGTCGCCCAGACTGGAGTGCAGTGGCTGCTCCCAGCCACTGCAGCCTCGACCTGCTGGGCTCTGGTGATCCTTCCGCCTCAGCCTTCCAAGTAGCTGGAATGACAGGCATGCGCTACCACAACTGGCTGATTTTTTTTTAATTTATTGTAGAGATGAGGTGTCACCGCCCAGGTGGGTCTCGAACCCGCGGGCTGAGGCAATCCACTCACCTTAGCCTTCCAAAGGCGCGGGATTATAGGCTGAGCCACCGAGCCCGGCTTGTTAAAATCAACTTTAAAAATACAAAAGCTATTTTTTAGCTCAAGGATCATACAAAAATAGACTGGCAGACCAAATGCACTGTAGTTTGATGACCCCTGAGTTAAATCATGAAAAGAGTTTATTGGCATCTGGCACACAGCAACTGCTAAATAAGCATTTCAAAAAGAGGAAAAAACTGCCCAGAATTCCTCTGTCTGTAAACAACCACTATTACTTTCCTGTCTTTCACCATGTACAGAAACATGTCACATACTCATAGTCAAAATGTTTAGGAATACGTGATGGTATACCCTGCTTTTTAAATTGTTAGATTATAAGAATTACAATTCCTAATTATAATACTCAGTTGCTGCCTAACCTTCCACCAGATAAATATACCCAAAATATATCTGGGCATTACTAGGCATTTAGTTTGTTTCTGATTTTTTGCTAAAACAAATACTGTCAAATAAGTAAATTTTTTTTTTTTTTGAGTTGGAGTCTCACTCGGTTGCCCAGACTGGAGTGCAGTGGCTGCTCCTGGCCACCGCAGCCTCGCCTGCTGGGCTCTGGCGATCCTTCCGTGTCAGCCTTCCAAGTAGCCAGAATTACAGGCATGCGCTACCACGCCCGGCTGATTTTTTTATTTATTGTAGGGATGAGGTCTCGCTGCCCAGGTGGGTCTCGCACCCGCGGGCTCAGGCAATCCACTCACCTCAGCTTCCCAAAGGCGTGGGATTACAGGCTGAGCTACCGAGCCCGGCTAAATAAGTAAATTTTTAAAGGCACTTCTTAACTTGATTTTTCAAACATTCTTTGGTCTTTAAAATAAACCAATAGCTTTAGGAAGTGAGTTTTAAAAACACATAATTGGGTATACTCTTCCTACTATTTACATCTCAGTAGTCCTCCTCAGTTCTGGTACTGTAATTAAGTAGTTCCCAACTTACTAGTCCCAAATCCCTTGTGGTTTTCAAAGTTATTGCCATGGGTTTGTGAATAATCATATAGCTACCACGCACAGACTACAGAATAAATAAGTTTCATATATTATACACCTCAATTTTCCAAATTTCTGAAGATACTGTGCTGATTACAAAAGCATAAATGGCTTCTTGTCACTATGCAGTTTTTCCACCTACATATACAAAAAGTACAATTATTACATAGACATCAGTTTAAAAGTGGGTCCTCATACTCAAATACTTGCGAATTATTGTTATTGTGAATTTCAAAAAAAAAAAAAGTAAAAGCATATAAGGTCAAAGGACTAGATCACTCACCAGAAGAAGTGCAGTCAATTAAATTCATGTAGTTATACACTGCCTCTTTCCAAAAAGAATTTGAGGCTAGGAGGAACAATGAGTTCAAAAGTTTTATGAAAAAAAAAACACTAAAGAAATGTGTACTTGGTAACTAACATTTGCTAAGTAAAAATATTAAAATGTATTCATTTAACATACTGAGCACCTATTATCTGCCAGGCACTGTTTTAGGGATAGAGTAGTGAACAAATACAAGTAAAAATTCCTGCCCTGATAAAGATTACATTCTACTGGGAAACATACTAATTAAACCTTGGGATTTCACTTCACACCTGTTCAATTGAACAAAAATAATAAACTCAAACACTGTGTCTGTGGTAGGGTAAAGAGCAGAAAATACTGCTGGTGATAATGAAAAAGCAGAATTTGGGGGAGGGGGCGTGTAATCTTTTTTTGCATTTTTTTAAATAAAAGGTTTATTTATTGAGATATAATTCATGTGTCATACAATTTACCCATTTAAAGTATATAATTCAATGTTTTTTAGTATAATTCATAGGGACATACAACCATCAGTACCATCTAATTTTAGAACATTCCCCCGAAAGAGATCTGATTAGCAGCGATGCCCCACTCCTCCCCTTCCTCACTTAGCTCCAGCAACAACGAACCTACTTTCTGTGTCTTTGGATTTTCTTATTCTGGACATTTACATAAATGGAATCATACAATATGTGTTCTTTTGTGACTGGCTTCTTTCACTTATCATGTTTTCAAGGTTCGTCCATGTTGGAACATGGATCAGTGCTTCATTCCTTTTTATGGCTGAATAATGCATATTCCATTGCATGGGTATACTGCAGTTTGCTTAGTCACTCGTCTCTAAATGCACATTTGGGTTGTTTCTGCCTTTGGCTATTCTTGATAGGTCTCTTGTAAACATTTGTGTACAAGTTTTTGTATGACCACATATTTTCATTTCTCTTGGGTATATATCTAGGAGTGAAATAGTTGAGTTAGTCTATGTTTAATTTTTTGAGGAACTGCCAAACTTTTCCAAAGCAACTGCACCATTTTACATTCCCACCAGCCGTGAATGAGGGTTCAAATTTTTCTACATCCCTATCAACACTTGCTATTATCTATCTGTCTTATTATAGCCATCCTAGTGGGTAAGAAGTGGTATCTCATTGTGGTGATGATATGAAACTGAGCATGCCTCCTTTCCTCTACTCTAGTAATTTTAGTTTAAACTTATTATTTTAAGGTGATAATTTAAAATAAAAAAAACAACTGTGTAAACTAAGATGTTTATATTATCTTTATTTATAGTAAGAATTAAAAAGCACAAAACTAGCTATAACTCAAATGCTCAACAATCAGTGAAAGCTTAAACAAATATAAAATATACACATCTAGTTACTCCCTCCCTTTCTCTCAGCCTCATATGTGTCTTTTCCTCCGCATACCCTACGAGCCCACCACAGCACACTACCTGCTTTCTTGGTTAGGCTAGGCTGTTCCTACCATGTGGATGGCCTTCCCTCAGTTAGCTTGACAAAACCCTTGACCATCACAGCCCCTGGGACTCTTTTCTTGACTTTTTCCCCCCTGAGTTTCTTCCTCCTTGGGAAATCTGGGTTTATTCTGCAATTATTTCAATACATTGTAAGTACTTATTTACATAATTGTATTTATTTCAATAGGCAAAAGACTCTATTGCAGAACACAAAACTCAAATGGCCTATAAACATATGAGATGTTCAACTTCATCAGTAATTGGGAAAATGCAAATACAATTAAGATCACAGTCGTTTCACATACATCAGATTGACCAAAAACAATTTTTTAATTGCATATTCCAGAGTGTTGGCAAAGATGTGGGACAACAGGAAATCTCAGATCCTGCTAGGTGAATTATATATGAATACAGTATAACCAGTCTGAAAGCACAGGTGTCCCTCAATATACAAGAGGGATTGATTCTAGGACCCCACATACACTAACATTCATGCATACTCAAGTCCCTCACTCAGCCCTGTGGAACCTGGGTATATGAAAAGCCTGCCCTTTGTATAGGTGGGTTTCACATCCCACAAATACTATCTACTTAATCTGTGTTTGCTTGAAAACAATTCACATAAGTGGATCCACACTGTTCCAACCTGTTGTTCCAGGGTCACATACAGTTTGGTAGAACCCAGTGAAGTCGAACACACCCACATCCCACAGCCCAGCAATTCCACACAAGAATATAACTTGGAGCTGTGGTTCTCAAAATTTAGTGTGTACAGAATCACCTGGGGGTAGGCAGAGAGGCTGGCTAAAACAGACTGCTAGGCCCACCCCTGGCAGGTTTCTGGGTGATGTGGATGCTACTGGTCAAAGGGCTAGAGAGTCACTGGTT